TGAGAAGCTGAGCGCTCCAGACATTTTTACTTCAATTTGCCTCAAGTCTAAGAAAATTTCAAAAATCCCCTCTGTTTCTAATCACATGGTTAAACCACTGGAAATAGCTTCGAGATTTCTTGTTCTCAATAATGTTTAGAACTTAGTAAAAACGATGTGCTTTCTTAGATATGTATATTTTCAATTCAGTTAAATTGTTAGCAACTACTTAAATTTAAAAATACTATGCCGGATTGGGACAATTTCAAAGATTTGAGACTAAACAATACAACAAGAGCATACCAACAGAAACTATAAGTCCCTCAAAGCATCAAAGAATAATACCAAATGCTTACTCCTTTAAGTACTCTGCCAAAACTCAACAGCTAACTATACACACAAAGACATCTAGCAACACATTCATTGGCATTCATTCAGTAGCTTTTAACAAAGCAGTTACACTCTGATGAGTAGTTAAAATAGTCACTTTCTCAAGATAGGGTCAGATGTGGCCCAGGCTAGCCATGAACTCCTGATACCCTTGACTCCAAACTCTCCATCCCAATTACAGGCGTATGCCACCACATTCAGCTTAGGAATTATTTTCAAAAGCCATTTAAAAAACAGTTTTATTTATGGGCATGCGTTTACGGGCTCTAGTGGAGATCAGCAGAGGGCGTAGGATTCTGAGAGTTGAGTGATAGATGGTTGTGAGTTACTCAGTTTGGATGCTGGGAGTGAAACTCGGGTCCTCTGCAAGAGCAGTATGTGCTGTTAACCACTGAGCCATCACTCCAGGCCCAAAGCATTTTTAACTTATAAGGAAAGAGAATCAAAGAAACATAGCCAATGTCATACAAGCCACCATGAATAAAATCTCCAGGGTTTTATCAGTTTCTAAACATAGTCGATTTTTTGGCTTTCTTCAATAGCATAAAGCATCTTTCCTGGCATGTAATTTGAAGTGTTATTTTGAAATTCACAAACTCAAACAATACACAAAATGCTTCTGAAGTCATACCTTTTTCAATTCTCTTTTCCGGGCTTCCTTTCCTAAGGAGAAGAGAAGAGATGACTTAAATCTTCAATATTAACATCACTATAAGACAATGTACACAGCTCTTTCCTCTGAGACATCACTAAGCAGCACAAGGATTTTAACAGCGTTGATGGCTGTGATCCACTGGCCAACTCTAGCACTTCTAACCCTCACATCCTAAAATGTCAAAACGTTATTTTTACAGAAATAACTGAACCCTAAAGGAGCAAAAGACTTTTTCTCAGATACCAAACATGCACTTAAAAACTCATTTGCTTAAAAATTCCAACACACAGACTTAAACCAATTTTATCCGGTAAGCCAATCAAGTTTGAGACAAGAATATGCTTTTAACTGATTTACATTCTCAATATTTTAACCACATGAATTAATTTTAGTTACAAGAATCCTACATGACTTCACACAACTCACTCCTACCAGTGCTGAACTCGTGTAAGCCTCATGAAATAGTCTTTGCAGTTTTTAACTCTTCTACCCCACCAGTCCCCACTAGCAGCACTTACGAGCTTGGTCTGTGGGGTTCATAAACTTCCCACTCTTGGTGGAGGATGTCGATCTCCGTCCCATGTTGACGGTTTATTTGATTTACTTCATTAAAAGAAAAAAAAAAAACTGGAAAAAAAAAAAAAAGAACTGAGTTTTCCTGTAGGTGTAACATGTCTTACTTTTAGGAATTTCCAACAATTTCTAGGAAGAAATACCTCTTCAGTTATTGTAAGAACTTACTCCTTCTTGACCCACACAATAGTTAACATCTCTATCACGCAAGGCAACCAATGTCATTAAATACACACCAATCACACTTTACTATGGGTGATACAGCACTCCAACTCTAAAGAGTCAGTGAACAGTTTGTACTTACAAGACCAGTCACTTGGAATATGGACTGAGCCATGAGACTATCTCAAAATCAAACCAGTTTAGAAATGTTCTAACAATGTGATACAAACCAAGTCATTAGTCCTTTCTCTATATCCTCCCTTTATAAATAAGGTGAAATGCAAGAGAAGTGGGGATAATGGTCAAATCAAATACATGCTTTCTACTTTTCACTCCGCATGTGAACTGTTCACATAACACCCCCAAAATGGCAAAAAGTAACTAATTCAAACAGATTTAATACCAAGTCAAAGATGATTCATGACTCTCAATGGATTAAAAAATTAAGTATTAGAACTCCCAAATTTAATATTAAGATACATCTTTTCCTTACTAGTAATCTGATTCTTGACTCATACATATACTTTAAGGTAATTAAAAGTGGTAGTTACCGCAAGAAAATATTTTCAAGGCAAGGATTTTATTAGTGTCACTTCTCTTCTATTTCAAATGAATGAAAGTTGACTTTCAAAATTTGACCTTTCAATAATTAAAAAAATTAACAATTGTTTTCCATTGAAATGAAGGACAATCCGCTCCAGGCTACTCCTCTTGTTGCTCCCCTCTGTGCATTAACTAAGTACTTTCTTTCTTAAAAAGACATCTTTAAAGGTTGGGAAAGGGAAGACCCTACAACTGCAATTCCCGTGGCTCCTTTGTTAAGACTTTGTAGGCTGTTTTAGTTAATTCTCCTTTCATCAAGTGTTCACCTGCTCGGCTACTGTTTCAGAACTGTTCGGTGGCAATTAGTTCATTATAAAACATTTCGTTGTCAGAAAATAGAAGGGACAGGAGTTTGGGAGGAAGGGTATTGATTATGGAAAAGAGGAAGAAGGCAACGATACAAGCTCTTATATTTATAATCGTTATCTTTAGTGCTTCCCTTTCTCAACTCGCCTCAGGCTCTCGTTTGGACCATTTCCCCCCCCTTCCACAACTAAAGACACATCAGCTACGTGTCACTGAGAATTTTCACAAGACCCTACTGCCTTCGTCTACAAGAGCGACCCTCCTAAAAGCAGAAGCATTTGAGAGAGAACAGGTCAAAAGACCGTGGGAACGCGGACGGCATAGTGCAACCCGACCGGTGCGGGTCCACCGAAGGAGGCCTCAACCGCAACTGCCGCAACCATAGCGACGGTTGAGACCGACTCGAGCTGCTATACCTCAACCCACGGCCACCGGTCGACGCGCTCGGGAAGCGGACCTAGCCCACCGGGCGGGCTCGGCTGAGGACCCGCCGGAGGCTGCGCCACGCCGGGCCCCGGGGCCCGCAAGCCCGCGGCTCCCGAGAACCCCGCAGAGCGGAGGAGGAGCGCGGTCCCGGGGCCTGCTGATTCTGTGGCGGCTGCGCAGGCCCCGGGGAGGACCGAGGGAGGCGGAACACCTAGGCCGCGCACACTCACGCGACTGCGGGGCTCCCGGGACGGCGAGGCCGGCTAGCGGGCGGTCTCGGCGTACTTTCTGCGAAGGGGGCCTTCACCTCTACCTCTCGGTCAACCACCCAGCCACCGCCATCTTGAAACCTCGCGCCCCTCCGCCATCCTTACGTCACTTCCCGTACCCTCGGCGGGCGCTCTCACCGCGTTGCGGAGTCCTGGGATCATAGAGCGGATACAACGTCTGAGCCAGAGTTACTTCCGCTCGAATCCACTATCCGATTGGACAACTGCCGGCCAAGAGCCCGCCTCATTCCGAAGCGTTGTAGATTGACACTGATGTAAACCAATGAGAATAAAAGTACGAAAGCTGCTATTTGGTTGGCCAATGGCTTACCCTCTCGGCATTCTGACGTTATTCTCTGAAGCTCATGTTGAGACCGGTACGTCTACCGGTCAATCGGCCCTTGGGCAATGTGTTAGTTGTGGGGGGTAAACGGAGGCTTTCCATTTGAAATGCTTCCATTTGAAAACAAGTTCCCGAATAACACTGGGCACTGACGTTAAAGTGCTCAGCAAAAACCTCAGCCCTTGGGATACCTGGTGCACGTGGAGATTGCGTAGTGCTTCCTTAAACACGCAACATGTGTAGAACTGAACAAATAAGTCATGCCTGGGCGAGACTCACAAACCGACAATCCACACGGAAATGCAAACAGGACACATGTTTTAGATTTCCCAGAGGACAAGTTGCTACGTAACTCTCCGTTCTGACTGGTCTTTTCAACAGCGCAAACTCCTTTATGATGTCATTAGATACTTTATATTTAGCTCTAGTCTTCGTCCTTCTCTTCCCTTCTTCACCCCCAATTCCTTAAGACCCCTCCTAACCCTTTCCCCTTAAAGGTAAGCATTTTACACGAACTGTTCGCATAGCTTGAACGTGCTTGGCTAACTTTTCAACTTAATCTCAGCATTCTTTACAGAAAAAGGTCCTAAGAAAAATTTTGATACCAGGTATTTAAAAAGTATTGATGGAGGTGTTTATAAATGTTTAGAATGTTTTAAGTGTGTCCTCTAACGGTGTAACATCAGTCTCATACGTAAACCAAGTTTTGTTGTAGTAGAAAAAAAAATTAAATTAGGAGATAGGATCCCTATGAAGCCCTGACCTGCCTATAAGATATATAGGCAACCAGGCTGGCCTTCATCTCCCCATTCTTCTGCCTCATCGTTTTGATTGCTGGAATTACAGCTGTGTGCCATGGTGCTTGTTTTGTTAAGTTCTTGTTTTGATTATTCTTTCAGTGTCAGTCTAGCAAGATCTAGTAGTTGAAAACATACAAAGCAAGTAATAAAATTTGAAGGTCACGACCCAAATTATGATAGTTTGGAACTAATTTATAAAATCAGTGATAAAATAGAAAATAATACATTTGAAAAAGACATATGGCTAGTTAAATTGTTTTCATCTGCTTGTAAGAGATTTTTGAGATATACCAAGTAGTACAATGACATTTTTGTGCTTAAGAACAAAACTATAACAAAGGTGTTCTCAGCATTACCACAGTGTAATTTTCAAAGTACACCCTGAGAATGGTTCCGTGGGAATTGTTAGATAAAGGATTTAAAAGAAGAGAAAAGAGAAGAGGAGGGGAAGGGAGGGGAGGGGAGAGGAGGGGAGAGGGGGAGGGGAGGGGAGAGGGGGAGGGAGCAGAGAGCAGAGCCAGGAGAGAGCAGAGTAGGAAGAGAGAGAGGAGAGGGGACAGAGAGAGAGGAGAGGAGGGGAGAGAGGAAGAGGAGAGGGGAGAGGAGAGGAAGAGGAGAGAAGAAAAACAGTGCTTTAGCTATAGAAATTAAGTTGTATCCGCAGGCCTCTGTAGCCTCTAGCTCTTCTGGTTTCCGGTGGTAAATACCATGGTAAATACCTAACGCTCCATGTAGCTGCCTCTTGCTGGTGGTGTTGAATATAAAATTACCTCTCCTCCTGAAAACTTGCAATTAATTACTTTCCTTTAATCAACAAATTCTTAAGGAGCAGTGAGTCTTTTTCCTCACTCTAATGCATTTTATGGACAGGTAACTCAGGGTTATTTCTTATTTTTGAAAATGTTCCAGAATGTTCCACCGCTAAAGAGATAGATGACGGTTGGTCAACATTGATTGCATTATAGAAACAAGTTTTATTATTTCATCTTTTTCCAAATCCACTCAGACACACTTTGTAGTTAGTAGAAGTTCACAGATCCATTGCCTCCGTTCATTCTTGAAGAAAATGTTGTTGTTGTTTCTCAGTCTTTTCCAGTTTATAGACAATTGTGGTTAATCCAGTGGTTAAAAATAACGGAAATATTTCTGTTTCACCTGATGGCCACAGGTGTGTGTCTCGCCAGATGTTACTAGGTATGTCTCATCAGACCTACGTGATGGTTGAAACAGGTGATCGTAATGGTCTCTGCATTAGTGGGAACCTTTGAGGACATTGACTGGGAACAAGGACACGGTAGCTTGTACCTGCTGAGTTATGATGTGGTTCTGAGAGCAGGGTAAGAAAACTAGATAGAGCCTTATTGCTCGGGGGCTAGGACAACTGATTTGGGCACTCGTTGACACAGATCCTAAGAATTCCAAATTTTTATTCTATCTGTGGTCACCTCGGAGGCACTTGGGAAATGGAAGTAGGTAAAGAAGTAAGCATGATGGAGAGGGAAGCAGAGAGCTAGCCCAGTGGTAGACATGTGACCGTTCATCTTAACTGGTGCTTCACAGCACCAGCGACCTCAGTGATGGCATGGTGGTACTTTTCTGAGGCGGCCTTGAATTCCACCAGATGTGTCTCGTAGCTTTTGATGGCTGCTTGAAGCTGCGTCCTCTCCACTGCTCCCAAGATGGCTCGGACGATCATGTCTAGGCCGAGGCCAAGCACGGCAACGCCAATGCTGCCAAGGAGAGAGGTCCCGATGTGAGCGAGCACTGTGACCAGCTTGCTAATGATGCCAGATGTGACATTTGAGCCCACGAGTTTGACAGCCACTGCGCTGGCCGCAGATGTAGCTTCTCCAAGGATGACAGAAATGACCTTTTGCACGATCGCAATCTTCTCTGTCTCTCCTTCCTTAATATCCTGAAGCTTCCGATAGAGGGTTGGCTCCAGCTTGTCTTTCAGTGCCTCGTCAACCTTCTGCAGTTCCTTTTGGATTTTGATCACTGCTTGGATAATGATGTCACAGTTTTCTTTAATGGTGCCATCTCTTCTCATTTCAATGAAGGCCAGCCTACAACCCAGGTGGGTGTTGAGAACCCCGGTGAGCTTGTTGGTGACCTGGAAGCTGTCAGACAAGCAGTCCAGGAGCTGCCGGTGAAGGCGGCTCACCTCCTGCCGCCTCCTTGGGTTTTCTGGGTAGAGGAAGTCACTCTGAGCCATGTTTCAGCTACAGCCTCTGCAAAATTAAATGGAAATTGTCACAGAGCAGGTACTCTATGACTCTAATTAGGCAGCCAGCAAAGTAGCCATAGCTAAGGCTTCCTCAGAGAACTCAGCAGGTTTGGTTTGTTTCCTTGTTTGAGTCAGGTTCTCTTGTAGCCCAGGTATGAGCTTCTGATCCTCCAACCTCTATCTCCCATGAGCTGCAATTACAGGCCTGCACCCCTCTGCCTAGTTTATGCAGCGCTAGGGATCAAAGCCAGAGCATCACAAATGCCAGACAAGCACCTACAATCTGAGCCGAATCCTTAGCCCTTCAGAACTTAGCTCTTGACTGCCATTACTAGTTTTCTTAGTCCCTAGTCACCTCGCTAAATCTGTGCCTACCAGATTTATTTCTCAAGTATCTGAAGTAAAATTAGTAGTGTAAAGATCTCTGGGATTACAGCAACACTGATATAAATTTAGTGCTCATGGATTTGATGACTTAGAATATCCTGGCGGGAGACTTAGTTGGTAACAGTGCTTGCTTCACAAACCTGAAAACCTGAGTTTGCTCTCTGTGACCCACATGATAAGGAGAGAACTGCCTCATACGAGGTGACCTTTGAGCTGAACACACCTACCACGGCAGTCAGGGGTCCACCCACAACCACCTCACCCTCCCCAATAAATTATTTTGAAATTTTAAAAAGGAAATAAAACACATAGTGCCATTTTATACCTCTATGGGCAAATTGCTTTTAAAACCTAAGGACTATCCAAAAGTGACACTCATATAATGTTAAAATCTTGAAAAAAAAATCCCTCATGAGCCAAGCATTGTGGTGTATGCCTGTGATCCCAGCACTGTGGATGCACAAGCAGGCAGATCTCTGTGAGTTCAAGGCCAGCCTGCACTGCATAGCAAGTTCCAGGCCAGCCAAGACAACACAAACTAGACAACACAAACACCCACTCTAGCCTGTCTCAAAAACCGCAAATTTCTCAGACTAAGAGCAAACATTCAAGGCTATAGATGGAAATACCATTTGAGGAGAAGGTGGACACCGTACAAGCACAGGAGAGTTACAATCATGTCTGGGACTCTTTTATTTGTGAAGCTTATACATTAAATGATTTAGTATGGTCTATATTGTATGTGGCCATTTGTTTTGGTGAGTTTGAAAGAGGGTCTCACTGTAACCCAGGCTCACATGAACTCACTAGGTAGCTCAGTACAGCCTCAAACTCATAGTGATCCTCCTGCCTCAGCCTCCTGAGTGCTGGGAGCAGCCACCATACTCTGTCCACAGGCATTATTAAGACAGGCTAGAGTGGGTGTCAGGAGGAAGGTAATAGTGGCCTGGTGGTGGCAGCACTTGCTCTTAATCCCAGTACTCGGGAGACAAAGGCAGGCAGATCTTCATGAGTTTGAGACCAGCCTGGTCTACAGAGTGGATCATCCAGAGCTACATGGAGAAACCCTGACCTGAAAAAAACAAAACAAAATAAAAATAAGAGAGAGAAAGAAGGCACTAGCATCTTGAAAAGACACTAGAAGTAGTGTGAGCACACTGTGGACTAGAACAGCTACTTGGGAGGGGACTTCTTGTGCTTGTATTTGGGGCTCATGGCCTAGTCTGTTAAGACAGGGAACAACCATACTTATCTGCATTTATTATACTGAAAATCCGAGCACAGAGAGAACAACATGCTAATTAATGTGCATATTTTGAATAGGCTTCCCATGTGCCTGGCACTTGGACTTTTCTGTGTTAACTCTGCAATGTCAGTTTTATAGTTATTTCACTTCTATGTGCCTGAGGGTTTTGCCTGCATGTATGTAGGTAGGTAGGTATGTGCACCATGTGTATGCCGAGTGCCCTCAAAGGCCGGTAGAAGATGTTGCAATCCTCAAGAACTGGAGCCACAGGCAGCTGTGCACCTCCATGGGGGTGCTGGGAAGTCTTCCAAGTCCTCTTGGAAGAGAAGCCAGTGCTCTTAACCTCAGACCCACCTTTCTAGTCCTGCTTAAGTTGTGTGTGTGTGTGGTTTACCACACAGTCATTTTTTTTGGTTCTTGTTCACATTGTAAGTGTTTCTGTCTCATAAGGTGATAACTGGCTTGGCCAACCTGTATTCCGTTCCTGTTGCTTCTTCCGTCCTGTCCTGTTTAAAGGACCAGTTATCTTGTGCTCAGTGCAGCAGGGCGAGTTTATAAGAATGTGATGCTGTCTACCCTCACACTGAAGTAACAGCCAGTTAACATCTTTGGACTACTTTTGTTGTAGTTTGTGTTTGGCATAATGTACAGGAGTGTTCTTCTTTGACTCCATGACTCACAAAGAAGAAACAGTTGGTGATGCCCACCTTCTTGGCACTTCTGACCAGTTAGGAAGGTAAGGCTTTCATAACTACAATGTCTAATTGAAAAAAAAAAAAAAAAGAAAAAGAAAAACAAACCATGGTTATACAAGATTGGTGTTTGACTTGTGGAAATTGAATTTTTTAACAATTCACACATTTTCTTTCTATATATTGATATTGCCACCAGGGGGAGACACCTGGTCACCCGGGAACTTGTGGGCTTTCGAACTGATGCCTTTAATTATGTACTTGGTGGCTGAAAAGAGGCTCACCAGTGCGTGGAGAACGGAAAGTTGGTAATGTGTGGTGCTTCCATTCTGGCTTTCAACGATGTGCTTCGGAATGTCAATCGGATCACTCCACTCTGTGGAACAGGAGCCCTGCAACTAATCATCTCTCTTTTAGATCAAGGATCCTGCCCATGACACAGTACTATGCCCAAGACATGTTCTGGGCACATTCTTACTCCCACTTTATTATATTTTTGATTGTCACCTGTCTGGAGACTATTAAAGATTGTGGCATTACCAGAGACCCCAGAGATGAGTTTCACATAGCTGTGGTTAACTACTCTTATGTATGGCAGATTAGGGCTTTCCTAAAATCTGAAATCACACTGCCAGTGCTTCCTGTCAGTGAAAAACTTCCCTTTAGGGTGTTATTCTCCACCTCAGCGAGGTTCTGAAGATCCTGCCACAGCCATCTGGGGGCGTTGCTGGCTAGCAGGTGGAGCTCCTGCCTCCAAGGATGCCCATCTTTTTAAAAAAATTAATTATTTTTATTAATTACAGCTTATTCACTTTGTGTCCCCTTTGTACCTCCCTCCTCCTCCCCTCCCTATCCTCCCCTCCCTCTTGCCCCACCCATATCCCTCTCTCAGTCCACTGAAAAGGGAGGTCCTCCTCCCCTTCCCTCTGACCCTAGTCTATCAGGTCTCATCAGGAGTGGCTGTCATTGTCTTCTTCTGTGGCCTACTCTTAACACAGCCTTTGCTAAAGCAATATCCGTTTGCTTAGTCTACATCGGGGCTCTAGAGGCTAAAATTTTGTTTGATTGTGAGTGTTTGGTTGTTGAATCAGGATTTTGAGTCTTGCATAGCTAACTACAGTTCTAGAATTTGGGAGGTAGCTGCAGGATGATCAGGTCAGCCTCAGCTACACAGTGAGTTCAAAGCCAGCCTGGGTTACCGGAGACTGTCTCAAGAAAAAGAAAGCAAGCAAAAAAGAAAGGAGAGACAAAATATACAAAGGGAAGGATGATTACTTTTTAAAGTTAAGATTAATTTCATGCCAGGATACAGGTGATTTAGTTTTTCTGGAAAAGAACCACATTGCAAGAGAAAGTGTGCTGATTGTCAGGATTTTATTTTGTTTTGTTTTATTTTATTTTTTAATAGTGCTGGCTGGTATGGAAGTCTTAATGTAAGCCAGGCTGGCCTTGAACTCACAGAAATCCTCTTGCCTCTGCCTCCCAAGTGCTAGGATTAAAGGCATGTGCTACCACACCTGATCATGTTTATCTTGCTTTAAAGTGTCCATTTAACTTAAAATTTAAAGTTAGCATTCCAAGTGATGGGCTTCATTGTGGCCTTTTACACATAATGTCAGTACCCTTTGCTCTTACCCATTCCTTGCTGCTCTACTTCTTCTTGCTGGTCATCTTTTCAAAAAAACTTTTCAGGGGAATTTATAGACACCCGGTGCATCATTTGCCAAAAGCTACAGGAACTTAAAGAGAGAAACTAGGGTTGAAGGTACTGCAGGAAACTTCACCTAGAAAGTGACGTTTGATTTGTGTTCTGGCAGATGCTCAAATGATAATGTAAAGAAATTAAAAATAGTAACCGATAAAATATGTTACCTATAACACCATCACACCAATGTACAAAGTTTTAAATAGAGGAAGAAAGACATCTGCAATCCTATTATCTTAGGGTCTTTTTGCTGTTGTTGTTGTTGTTGTTATTTCTAAAATTTATCTATGTGCATAAGAATCTTTACGGAGTTGTAGTAATGGTAAAATTGTAGTAAAAATGAAATTCTTATTTTAATTCATTTACTTTTCTATGTTTCTAATTTTATAAGCAGTTTATTAGCTATATAAACTACTCAAATCTTTATCATAATTCAGTAAATCTCAAATTATGCCACTGTTGTAATATTTATATGCATAGCTTATTTTCCCTCCATCATCTGTATTATTTCCTTGGAACAAATAGGTAGGAAAACAACATAATAGTAATTGTCTTCACGTGATAGTAAAAACACATCTGTGTTAATTCTCTCCTTCCACCGTGTGACTTCTGGAGATCAAAACTCAGGTAGTCAGGCTTGGCAGACCACACTTTTACTCACTGAGCCATCTTGCCGACCCTACTGTTTTCTTGTCTTTGATACATATTCACATAGGATACATTTCAGAATGAATTCTTCTTTCAGGAGTACATCCTGAAGACATTTAAAATGAGACCAAAAAGCTCCGGGCATTTATTTCTCACTAAACTGGGAGGAGTAACAGGCGGGGTCAGAGACGAGTAAAATGAGCCTTGCCGAAGCTGGGGAGAAGGAAGATGCATGCAAGCTCATTGTGCCGGTGTTTCCACGGCTGCTTTTTCCACACTCGGGATATGTTACATTGCACACACGCACACACACACAGCAGAGGAGGGAGGGCCAAGCTGCCGACGTTGTCACCAGGGCTCCCCCTGCTTAGGCACTGCTGCCTCCGCTCCTCACTGTCACTTGTGAGTGAACACAGCATACAAATAAGCTGGAAGCCCTGCGGGAGGAAAGAGCAGCTGCTGTCCAGTCCTGAGCTTAATTCAAAGCAAAGCCATGGTGCTCAGTTTTTAAGTTAATCGTGAAGTGACAATGCCTTTTCTGGGACAGACTCCTCTGAGAACTATTTTGAGCAGAATAATTCTGAGCAGAAAGAAGACTGTAAAGGTTATCCATTAACACTTAGCAAAAGATTCCATTATGTACACAAGGCATTTCTGAGAAAAAATGGTGTTCTTTCCCCTCAAAGGCTGCTTAGAGGCACATGGTGTATCTAAGGATGATTAACTTCCTGGAGTACAAGCAAGCACTGTGCTAAAGTAAGAGCCTGCCTTCATTCTTCCATCACCAGGTTCTGCATCTCCTTATGACATTCAAGACACGGAAAGTACAGATCATCGTCCACACAAGCAACACACTTTCACACATGCGTCATGGCATCTCCCGCCTTCCTAAAACTAAGGTCTTCATTGCTTCTCTCCTCAGTGACTCAGTCTTACATCGTCAGATAGAATTTTGTCTTTTCTGGTGTCTTCAGGGAGGGAATCTCCAAACCCTGCCCCGAGATCCCCTCAAAACAAAGCCGACACTGTACACAGCCACTCACGTCGGGCATTATTCCAAAAGCACGAAAGCCTTGCCGTTCCGAGTATTTTAATAGAAGTTTCCACATCGCTTACCTTGCAGGGTATCCCAAGTGTGTTTCCCCGCAGTTGTTTAGGAGTATTGTTGAAGGGCTTTTTCATGTGGGCTCTTCTGGAAGCTTCTGGTGGAATGTGATGACGGACAGGCTTTGCTGGTCTCCGCTGGGTCCCCCTGCCTGCCTGGTTTATAGCCACTTGTGCCTGGCTTAGCTTTCAGAGCACTTCAGCTTCCTACAATATAATCTGCTTGTGTCGTAAGCAATGTGGCTTGAGCAATTTAAAAAACAAAAACAAAAACACCAGTGAAACATGTTGTATTTTCTGTTCTTTAATGCATTTTTCTTTTTATCGAAATGCTGTAAAGCTGAACAAATCCAGGTCAGCGTCAGTGAAACTCTAGCTGTAACTCCATCCTGTCAACCCTTCCAGATATACTTTCTTCGGCTTGTGCTGCGTTTAGACCTTTAGCTGTTGCTGGTGGCTTTGTTGAGGTTCTCAGGAGATACAAAACCAGATACAGCAAAAAAAAAAAAAAAAAAAAAAAAAAAAAAAAAAATGTATCTAGGAGGGGCTTTTCCCCCTAGGCTAGGAGTTCTATTCTGTATCACCTGTTATCCACTTAGCAGGGGTGTGCTGGTCCTGGAGGACTTCCTGCCTGGCTGTCCCTTTACACCCTCTATTCCTTCCCCTGCATGCCTCCTTGCTTTTTTTTAAACACACACAAACACACACACCACACCTAAGTATATAAATGTAGCCTGCCTGCTCCATTAAGTGTTGCTTGTGTGTATATGATTTCTGGGCTGGCCAGTTGGTATTGAATAATCAAGTAGGCTGCTCATCACTGGGGAAGACTATCCTTCCCCATCTCAGCTCTCGGCATTCCTTACTTGCCTGTCTGTGCTTGAGACTTCCTGCTTCCCTGTGAGCACATCTATCTAAAACAGTTCACTTTTGAAATGTTATTTTACGTGTGTAAGCTTACGTGTGAATGTGAGCGTAGGTGAGCACAGCCTGAGCAGGAGCCGGCAGAGGTCAGAAGAGGTCATCTGATCCTCTGGAAGTGGAGTTCCAGGCAGTTTTGAGCTGCTCCGTAGGTACTTGTAACTGAACCCAGGACATCTGGAAGAGCGTGAAAGGCAATCTCTCCAGCCCAGCATGTCTATTGATGTTGTTTTGTAAGTTAAAATGAAGGTGGGTATTAATCCCCACACTCCTTTGGACCTCATGTGCAAGGAAAAGTCTTATTCCCCGAGGGACCACATTAGTAGAGGATCACCTGTCTCTGGGAGGCTTTGAGAGCACTAAGGGTGATGAAGCAGAAGGGGTCAATGCAGAGGTAAGCAAAGCACTGAGCCCATTTGACTAGGAGAGGGGGTGACATCCGCATGCTAACTAACACCAGGCAGATTTTCCTTGTTCCCTCGCAGGTCTCTAGCATGGAGAACCCGGGCAGTATTCACCTCGAACTCGGTCCCCAGGCTGCCCCTTCTGCTGCATCTTGCTTTTTGGTATCTGGGACCCCACACTTCAAACTCCCACTCATGGGAAGGGTTGGCCTTGTAGGACAGGTGAGACAGGCATTTGGGTCCCCTGTGGGTGCAGTCAGCCTTGTCAGTGTGTCCATCCCTGCAGCCCCAGGACAGGAGTTGGTCTTTGGGGAGATTGCCTTGGGTGTGAAGACAGCACAGACAAAAGCTGCCATTGCTGCTGTGGTAGTCCCTGTGTCCAAGCCTGTTACGTCTGGGTCTGCTGTTTCCACACCCCCAGTGGGGCTCCAGGGAGATGAGAAAAGAACAGAGGAAATGAGGAAGGAAGGAGAATAGGGATGGGTGGGCTGTATAGGAAAGCTTGGAGTACAATGGTCTTAGAGGAGTCAGTGGCTGCAAGAGGTGTAGATCTGAGGCAGCCACGTAGGCGTCATTGTCCTTATTAGCACCATGCCCCCGTGGGTACCATTGTCTCTGTTGCCCTCTTTGGGTGGTAGGCAGTTCCACATGTGTGAGAGCCTGCTTACCACTGAGGCATGAGTTCCTGGCAGGAACGCAGATTGATGCATCTTCCAGGCTTGGCATGGGGGTTGGCCAACAAGTGTAGACCAGCCCCGGCCTTCCGTTTACATGTAGCCGCCTCTGGCCCAAAGTGCAGGACTTTGTGGGTTGCCTCCGTTCTAATCATAGGGCTTGTCTGTCACCCACTGGTGTATGTGCTGCTCTGTTTTGGCATGAATACAGTCCCATTGTCCTAGTATGGCAGGGAAGGCGGTCTGGGCACACCACCAAGCCCCAGCCACTAGGCACCAGAGGGTAGAGAGAAATGAAGAGGAATGGGGTGGGTTAGACTCATAGTCTCTGGATTCTTAGGGCTCCTGGAGGGTCCTGTCTGCCATCTGCAAGTTAACATATATTTGGGACAGCACACAGTATTTGATTATGTATGTTATCAAGGAGTATGGTGGGTCCTTAGCCTCAGAGGTAAAAAAAAAAAAAAAATTAAAAATGAACCCAGAAGGAAGTTAAACTGAAGACAATTTTATGGGAGTTCAAAGTGTGTGTGTGCATTCGGGGGGGAGGCAGACACAATGTAAATATTGACAGCTTCCAGGAGGAGGGATGTGATGTTTCTTGTTGTCAGCTTGGCAGAATTTAGAATTACCTGAGACATAGGTCCCAGGACATATGGGAGAGGGTTATCTTGATTATATTAATGGGGGGGGGGGGGAAGAACTGCCCACTGTGGGTGGTGCCATTCCCTAGGGAGGAGATCTGGACTGTGTAAGAGTGGAGAGAGTGAGGGGAGTCCAAGCATGCATGCATTTCTTGCCACTTTCTTGATTATGGATGCAACAAGGCCAGGTATCTGGAGCTCCTGCTTCTGTATAAATCTCCACACTGAACTCTGAACTGAGACAAGTGTTTTCTCCACTAAATTGCACCACATCAACAGGAAAGAACTACGATAAAAGAGATGATGGATAGGAGGAAAAGAGAGAGAATCCTGCTTTTGAGTTAGAAATAAGTTTCTGAGCATCTGTATGGGGAGGAGGAGTGAGGAGGAAGTGAAGGAAGGAAGGAGAAAGAGAGAGAGAGAGAGAGAGAGAAAGAGACAGAGACAAAGACAGAGACAAAGAGGAATGCCCAGAGTGCCAAGGTTAATACGATTAGGTTTGAGTCAGTACTCAAAATGGGGAGAAAAAGTAGGGAAAGAAAAGTTACACATTTTGAGTAAATGTTGGACAGTAAAGGGCTGTAAAGCATTGCAGAGGTTTCATTTTTAGAATACTATCTTATCAATAAATATCAAGTATTCTCATATTTTTCTATTTTTAAACAGTTATGTTAAAATCTACTATTAATTATTATTATTAGTGTGAGGCATGATCTTGCACACATGGAAGTCAGAAGACAACTTCCTGGAGTCTGTCTCTCCTCCTATCCTGGGTTCTGAGGCTCAAACTGAAGTCACCAGTCTTGTGTGTGGCAAACACTCTTACTCCCTAAGCCATCTCTCCAATGCCCAGACATCTTTGTAGCAGGACTTTGTATCTTATTTCTTGAAGTTACAGCTTGGGGGTGGGGGTGGGTCCTATACAAGTACTTGATAAGCCAAATTGGATTAATGCTTAAGGAAAGGACAACAATACATCTTTGTAAGTTATACTCTCATGGACAGTTTAGGATGTCGTTTTGCAGCCCAGGGCCAGAGTCATAAAACAACATAGATCCAAATAATCCAAGAAAAGCTAAAAAAAAAAAAAAAGTAGAGCTATAAACTACCATACCAGGAAAAAAATTCCTACCTCCTCATGTTTCTTTTTGTGAGACAGCCCTGACTGTCCTGGAATTCACTGTGTAGATCAGGCCAGCCTTGAACTCAGAGATCCACCTGCTTCTGCTGGGGTTAAAGACCTGCACTACCACATCCAGCTTGAAACAGTCTTCTCTTAACAGGCACCAACGAAGCCCTGCCCTCCCACCCTCCTCCTCTCATCCAGTAAGATGCAATTATAACGTTTCCTTCCTCCTCTGTGGTATATCCAATTCTAAGAACAACTTTGATATTTTCCCTTTCTCAAAATCAGCGTGCTACCAGGGGTCTGAAGTTGGTTATGAGAGGGAAGGTTTATCTTCAATGGCCTCCAAGCCTGCTTATGTCCAGCTAGCCACCTAACATGTATATGGTATAAATTTAGTCTGATGTTCCTATTCTACCCTCCCAATTATCTCTGTTACTCTTTCTATTAAAGACCAAAACCAAGCCTGCTTCAATTTTGGATAGCTCTCTCACCCTTGTCAGGACGTACCTTCATGTATTTATAGCATCTTTTTAGTCTCTTCATGGTGGCCAACTCCATTTTTAGTTTTCATTTGGATTCTGCTTTGCTTAACAGGGCTGAAATTTCTTTGTTGGGGAAATGTCTTCTGAGTCAGAAAAGGATAAAGAGAGACTGCTTCAAGTTGCCAAAATATTCTTCTCCCGCACGCTAGATCTGGATTCTTTCATAAATAGGTTTGTTGAGTTGTTTAACCTCAAGATGAAGACTCATATCCGCCCAACAAATATGAATGAAGAGAACTGCATTAAAGATTTCTTTGAAAAAATGATCAAAAATTTTAAAGAGATGCAATTGATGGTAGATTTAAAGTACAAACAAATTCAAAAAGAGCCATTATGTTCCAAGGTGATGACTGCTGTGACCTCTGTAGTGGACAAGTGTGCAAATGTGGGTCCACAGACAGCTAAAGAAATGCTCAAAAATATCCAGACCCCCGCTGCTTCCTTTGTGCTGAGCCACATTTTTGAGAGTCTGGAATCTTCTCTTTCACTCCTGATGCAGTCCCCCATCATGGGGCTTCGGTTATGTGACTTCTATAAAGAGGAGACCAAAGAGCAGTCAGAGGCCTCCACATCCGAGAAAAGTCCAGAATTTCCCAAGGCCACCACAGAGGATGCCTGGAAGAAGCTGCAGGATGCTTTAAGAATGGAGGATGTCCACCAGGCATCAGAAGCAGCAGTAGATGCCCTGGAACAGTTTGTCAAGACTCTGGAGTCGATGTTACAGGCCCTCCGGAAAGCCATAAAGACCATGGAAGGGGATATGGCCACATGTATGGAAGCTGGGGGCAAGTAGAGGCTCAACGGAAGATGCGTTTCTTTCTGTCTGGAAATCAACCTGAATTCTCCAGTTTTTGTGGTACTTCGTATATTCTGTTGCCGTCTATTCGGCATGTTGATCATCGCTTGGCAAACCACTTCCCTGGAGTTCTCCTTTGTTAAAATAAAAGGGAATAACCAAGAAAGCCTGCCTGAAATGGCCGTGACTAAACAGAATGTCCAGCTGTAAGGATCATGGCGGTATTACACTTGGGGAGAGCTCTAAATATGTTGCTGCTTTTGAAGCATAGTTAGAGCAGCTGATTTCTCCTTTTCATGGCTCTATCTCCAGTCTCAACAGTGTGAAGTCTAGGTAGGAACAGGCATTACCATATGGTAATCTATTCATTATCATTCTGTAACCTACAAGGTATGACTGTTCATGCCTGGGAAATAGAATCCATGCTGTGTCATTCATACTGATATGAACAGACATTGGAGTCTGGTAATCACCTTGCTGGGATCACTGGGTTCCTGAACCCCGGAACAAAAAACATGGACAGAGAAATCTATACTGTAACAGAAACTCAGTTTAAGAAAAGATGTGCTTTCCGGAGAGGAAGTAGGCCAGAGCTGGGAGGACAGGTTAGATGCTCAATGCTGTTGCGTGGGGGAGGGTTGTGACCCTTGATGGGTCAACTGCATGGTGCCAGCTTTGTCATGGGCTTTTCTGCCTACCATGTCCCATTTGTAATCTTACTGAAAGGCTTCCCCTATGCCAAATGTTTGGTTCATATGCTGATCTCACAGGCTTTGTATCTGGTTTCTCCTGGACTTCTCTCAGCCCTGTTCTCCTGCCTCAGTACAATTTCTATAATGCCCAGTGTCTTGGCTGTCATAAACCACTAAATATTCCTGATATGATTTGCATAGGACTAAGCAAAGCAACAAACAGAGTAATATGATTTTCTTGCTTATATGAATAAGACCAGAGTTTGTTCTCATCTTGTTTTCCCTAAGGTCTTAAGATAAGGGGATAGTAATAGTTAGAAAGTAAAGGTGTTATTGTCGAGATGGACAGAGGACACATAGATCCATTCACTCATTCACAACAGACCAATAATATTTTAGGGGATCTTACCTCAGACTAAAGTAGGATTCGTGGCTTCAACGCAGAAAACAGTTTTAGGAGGGGACAGTATAACACAGATATGGGGCTCACTAAAGACTGAGGATTAAAACAAAGGAGGTTCTCAGAAGAAAGTAAGACACACCCTAGAGCATGGGAGGAGGCTTCTCTAAAAAGAGCCACAGTTTATTAAGAGAGAATTTTAAATACACACATGGGGGATCTCCAGGTGTGGGTGTGGTCTCCTGGACTCAGAGTCACAGTTCAATCTGAGCATGGTAAAGATGAAATGGACACAAAGTTACAGCCCTATCCAAGAGGTTGTTTGCAGTTGATAGCTGCTGGGAAAAGGGGAAATCAGTTTTCTCCAGGGGAGTGACACTGAGTGACATATGCATGGCAGGCCCCATGCCCAGGAGTGGTTGGCCAATGCAAAGAGAGCATCATGGGTGTTTTTGTAGGCTTTTTGTTTTGTTTTTATTTTTGTCTTGTTGGTGTTTTGCTTGCTGTTTTGATTTGCTTATTTTTGCTGACTTTGAGAGGGGAGAGAGAGAACACGAAGTTGGGTAGGTAGCATCTGGGAAGAGTTTGGGGAGTAGAAAAACATGATTAAAATATAAAAAAACTTTTTAAGTTTAAAAAAAGTCTTACTTTGTTGTCTTTGTAATACTTACATGCAGGAGTTCAGTGCGTGTAAAGCTATTATCTTTCAAAGTTCGTCAAGGAAGCTAAGTGAGATGACAGGGTGGTCCCCAAGGGCAGCTGACCTGACTAGGCATAGCTGTAGATCTCAGAGAGGTGGTAAGCTACCTTTCCTGTGGACAAATAGTCTCATTTGAGATTCCCAGAAAAACATCCCAGTAGGAAGGCCCTGAAATCTTTCAGTCCGTGTATCCCCCAGCTTCTCAGTTGCCAAATCCGCTACACCTAGGATTATGTAAGTCTGAAGATATAACTCAGTTGAGAAGTAGTTTCTCTTTGTATGTACCAGGCCCTTGGTTCAAATCACAGCACTGAGTAAAACTGGGGCATGGTGGCACACACCTGTAATCCTAGTACTCATGAAGCACAGGCAGGAGGGTCAGAAGTTCAAGACCATTTTCAGCTACACAGTAAGCCTGAGATCAGCTCCGGGTGTTTGAACATTGTTTCAAAAAACCAAACCACAAACATTTTAAAGAGAGAATGAGTGAATCTAACCTAAGTCAACTGGAATCAGATCGCTGTACAACTAAATGCAAAAATTCTAATTTTCTAAGCAAATTATCCAGAAAATTTAATTTCACTGTTTTTTAAATATTTATTTATTCTTATATTATTGGTGCTTTTCCTTCATGTATGTATGTGTAACACATGCTTCCCTCAGAAGCCAGAGGAAAGCATTGGATTTCCTGGAACTGGAATTTCATACTGTTGTAAGCAGCCATGTGGATGCTGGGAACTGAGTCTGGGTCCTCTGCAAGAGCAGTCAGTGCTCTTGACCACTGAGTCATCTTTCCAGCCCCTCTTCTGCTGTTTTAAGTCAAAGAGTACACACAGAACTTCAGGTGGGCATAGTAAAGAGAATGCTGCGCTCTGACATAGAACCAAAATGTTAAATGGATTCAGGATATTTTTTGTAGTGAGAGCTTTGCTTTCTTTTATGGTTTTTTTTTTTTTTTTGTCTCGAATATGGGATGTGGAAATGCTTTTAGTTCATCCTCAGTTGAAAACAAACTCATGAGAGGGCACATGATCTTGGTTAGCTGAAAACAGACATGTGCTTGAGAGGGCTCATGATGTTTTGCTGGAAGCTGTCTTAAGCAAGGGGTGCGGCTTTTGCCAGCTGGAAAAACAGCCTGAGTGGACTTAGAGAATATTAATAGAGGCCCACAGACAGAAACAATGCTTTTGCATAGCTACGATTCATAAGGTTCATAATGCTTCGCTGGTCTTCGTTTTTCTACACTTAACTTCACACACACTCCAGAGTACTTGTGGCACTCTGGCTGAGCCTTGCTGTCTCTGCTGACTCGTGCTGCTGCTGTTGTACTTACTGATGTTTGGGCTGCCAGTATCTGGACAACGAAGAGTGGAATCACCCCAAGAAACTACTTCTAAAAGTCCACACCCCCTTTTCCTAATAACCTCCTTTCTCCCCTACCTCTGGTTGGGAAGGTGGTTTGAAGGGAGGTAAAAGTGTTTAAGAACCCTAAATAAAGTAGGTTTTGGAAAAATCTAAGCCCACATATTTTTATACATACAAAGATGCTTAGATTATTTTAATAAAATCGCTATGAGAGATAGTCACTATAAACCTTGTCTAGTACTTTCTTTTAACAGTCCATGTAAATTTATACTCTGAGCACTAGTCTCACCTGTAGAAGATACCATAGGCTAACAGGAAAAGAAATGAGAAATTACAGTGAAATGTAAACTAGTCTCCGATAGTTTCATGAGTGTATGAGTGTGTATGTGAGTGTGTGTGTGTGTGTGTGTGTGTGTGTGTGTGTGTGTGGTCTGTCTGTGTCTGTGTGTGAAGAGGCCAAAGGTGCGCATCAGGTGTCTTCCTCTACTGCAGTCTACCGAAGCCTGCAGGCAGAGTGGAATACTTCTTGAGCAGGGAGTGAGGATTGAAAGAAAAAATTAAAAACCCAACACAGTACACATGGGATCTGTTCGAGAGGGCTTCCAGCAGAGACTAGCCCTACGGGTTTATTACAATAATCCCTTTTCATAGTCAGAGCAAAGCAACCTTGGTACAATGAATGGGTGCACGGAGAACTCAAACTTGTTTACCTGGGCCACCTGTCTGTGTGATCCTCATACAAACAAAAGGTGTGAACTTGAGAAAACATCCTGCCTGCTGTCTCAAACAAAAGGAGGTGGACTTGGCAAAACATCCTGCTTGTCCCTGACTTCAGGTGAAGACCAGGGTGAAAACGTTTTTCCACTGATCGCTCAATGACAAAGCAGCCTGACATACATGCAGCTCTCCACAGCAGTCCACGTTATTTTCAGAGACATGTTCTGTTGCTGACCCTGGAGCCCACAGATTGTCTACAACTATTTTTCTAGTAAACTCTGGGCATCTTCCCATCCTCACTTCCCAGCACTGAGATTTCAGGTGTGTTATATAGATTTATGAGTTTGTTTAAGGATTAAAAACATGGTTCATATTCCCTTGAGATCTTCCAGAAGTTTAATGTTTTTGAGTATGAAATCTACAAAATGGGTCATTTATTTAAATTAAGTCAAAATCCAACTTATCATTTCATGGTTTAAGTTAGACATGGTAACACACCTGAATAGCAGCAGAAGGGAGAACTAAGTCATTTAAAAAAAAAATGCCTGTCCTGAGAATCATGAGGACATAGTCGCAATGTTCTTTGTTATGGAGTAGAACAGAATTGTATGAAGGCTCCATGTTAGAGTCTGTTGATACAGCACATGGCTTTAGGATCCACTGTTAGGGTTCAGAAGACACTGAAGGAATGAATGTCCCCAGACTCAAGTAGCATGCAAGCAACAAAAGGCGTTTATTCTGCAGAAGACCAGCATGCTGGGGCCACCATCCAGGCAGAATGGAGACCCTAGACAAAGGTGCACAGGTCTTCTCATAGGGAACTTGGAGAATTTCAGGGACAGGTAGGTCATCTTAATTGTGATTGGCACAGGTCAAAAGCAAGGGCACGAGTGCATCTATGATTGGCTAGAGCTAGCTAGGGCTTGATTAGGAGTTGGGGGCTCTCTAAACTGGTCCCAACTGGCCCAAATTTGTGGGTGTCAGGGAAGTCACAAGGGTTAACTCCTGATTGGCTTGTGTCCAGGTGGTTGGTGGCCTGCATTCTTGTGTTAAGAATGTTCTACTACAAGATAAGATGGGGCTGCCCAGAACAGATGTCCCTTCCCAGTTTTGTGGTTATCTCTAGGCAATTTCTTAGGTGGGGGATTTTATGATCTTGCTCCTGAAATTGGAGGCTTGGGCCCTCTCACCACATTTCTGCCACATTCACTGAGGGGTGCTAAAGAAAAAAAAAATGATGTTGCTTATGTGGAGAGCGCTCTGTAAGACTCACATGTTTGAAACTGCTTTTCTCAGAAACCTGATTGCGCTTAGAGATGAAATGCTCCCTTTCTCCACTCTTCAGAGAAGGGGACCCCCTACCCCTCCACCCCATCATATCAAGTGGCATCAGGACTGAGTGAATCTTCTTCCCCTGTGGCCTGGTGAGGTAGCCATGCCAGGGGAAAGTGATCAAAAAGCAGGCAATGGAGTCCATGTCAGCATTAGCCCCATTCACCTTACTAGGAAACCCATATGAGGACCGAGCTGTCCATCGGCTACATCTGTGTAGGCGGCCTAAGTACAGTTCAAGCATGGTCTTTGGTTGTTTCTTCAGTCTCCAGAGGTCTCATGGGGCCCTGGTTTGTTGGCTCTGTTGGTCTTCTTGTGGTGCTCCTGTCCCCTCTGGGTCCTTCTATTTCTCCTCCCACTTTCCCACAAGACTCTCTGTGCTTCACACAGTTGTTTCCACCAACTGCTGGGTGGAGCCACTCAGAGAATAGCTATGCTACGCAAGCATAGCAGAGAGTAGGCTGCCTTTTTTGCTTTGCTTTGTGGCTTATCAATTTTAAAATATTTTAAGTAAAATTCTCTCTCTCTCTCTCTCTGTGTGTGTGTGTGTGTGTGTATGTGTGTGTGTGTGTGTACACATGGATGCATGATGTACATGTGGAGGTCAGAAGACAACTCTTAGGAGTCTCCTTCCACCATGTATGTTCTGGGGATCAAATTCAGGTCACAATGCTTATCAGGAAGTGCCTTTACCACTGAGCCATCCTGCCAGCCCCACACTGTGTGTCTTTAAATCTCTCCATCACCTAACTATTTCCTGGATCTGTGAATTCTAGGATCACCCCTGATTTGTGTTTTCTTTCTACTCAGCTCTTTCCTACCCATGTGAGGTCTCATCTCACCTGGACAAATCCTTGCTTCTGCTAGAAAACATCATTATCCTGGGTCCAGAGGCATCTGGTTTCCTTCCCAGTTTCAAATGTCTAAGGCTTGTACTTGTTTTGGCCACAAAGCACTACCACATACAATGTCTTACTGTCTTTCTTCCCTCCTCTCAGCCTTTCCTCCCACTACACATTCTACAGCCCACCTCAAATGCTGCCTCCCTCCAAAGCCTTCCTGGCTCTTCCTCAAGGCACCTTTTGCTTGGATGTTCATAAATGTAAGACTTGGTTTTCCTTTTTTTTGATATTCCTCTTGTGGGTTGTTTTTGTTTTTAAATTTCTTCTTGTAGGTTACAAATGAGAGATCTAGTCAAGTATATTTAACTTTTAACTTTTAAAAGCATCTGATAGTGCATAACAGGCCTCAAACATTTTGGTAACTATTTGAGAATCAGCTTTTCCATAGTCTCATCTTGACTTCCACACACATCCTCCCCCAACAACAAACACTTTTCTATAAAGATCTGAAATAAAAAATTTTATCTGGTCTATAAAGTAAACATGCCTAAATTCCAATGTTTTGACAACGTTTTAGGAATAGGCATGTAAGAGCTTGTTACAGGCATGGCTGAGATTTTACTAATGGATAAAATGCTTTGGTCACGAGACAGGATCCCTTCGAATGACCTTGCTGGGTCAGCCTGTCACAGAGAGGGATGAAAGAAAGAATGCAGAGCTGGGGCTGCTGGTGCCCTGTGGCCGTACAATGGGCTATCGTCCAGCACCCAGCACCGCCCTGTCGCAGCATCCTAAGCCCAGGGAAGGAGATACTTTGGAACTGTCCTAGCCTCTTATGGGTACAAGCAATACCCTCACTCTACCCCAATAGTCACACCAGCCTTTCCCGACACAGGCCCCCCTTTCCCACAGAAGAGTGTCTGTCTTGCTGTGTTTTGGAACAGGCTGGTCCATTGCTATCAGGCTCCAGCCTCTTTTCCTGCCTTCTGTCTCCTTCTACTTCCTAAGAATTCTCACTCTAATACATTCCGTTTTCCTCTCTCAGGTTTCCATCTGAGAGTGCATTGATTTGATCTCGAAAGTTGATAAAACACAAATCACTGAAGATGAGTCCTTTGCTCTCCTATTCACTCTTCTTTGATTTGTTTCTATTTAGGATCACTAAGTTGGAAAAGAAAATAAGCGAAAGTCTGTACTCACCGGAACCTCTCTCGTGGCTGAGATAGAAAGCATAAACCACATTACATTGGCACAGATATCCTTTATTGATTCACGTAACAAGGAAATCGAATTATGCTTCGGGCACAGGTCAGCAAGAGAGGCTCATCACTCACTCTTGTCTCAACTTCTTTCCATTTCTCAGTTCTGCCTCCAGTGAGTCAGTTTCTCAGGGAGGCAAATTCCTCTCTCTCAGTGGCGGTGGTGGTGAGGTACCTGCTAGCAGGTCCTGGTGTGCATGCACTCTGCTCTCGTAATCACTCAAAGGAGAGATTCCTGCTGTGCTCCTTCAACTACTCTTGAAAATGTAGCCTGACTCTATCTCACAGACTATCACTGGATAGTCATTTCTCTCATGGATCAATGGCCAACTTACAGGCAAGTGATGTCCTAGGGTGTCCCGATAGGACAAAGGCACAGAGCGATGGTCAAATGTGACTGGCAAAGAGGATGCACACGGCTTTCAGGAATAGAGCGATAAAGACCTTTTCCAGTTCTGGTTAAGCATCTTCAGAACACTGGTCTTTTTCGAGGTTCCTGCCAGAGGCCGAGCAAAGAAGACACCTCTGAGGAGGACAAAGCCTGCTCAGAGCAGAGGCGGTTTGTCCCTTGTGGGTCAGAACTCCCTTTTTCTCCTGTAGGAGCACAATGAACGTTAAGACCTTGCTGTGGTTTTAGTGATAAATGCTCCTCATGAGCTTAAGGACTCTGACTCTTACTGGTGGCATTGCTTTCCATGGCTGTGGAATCTTCAGCCTTCCTAGAGGAAGTGAGTCACAAGGGGTGGGCCTTGAGGTTTGATATCCTGCCCCACTTCTGCTTCAGTAGCACCTGTGCTTCTGGTTCCAAAACTCTGGCTCTGAGGCTTGGTACATTTATAAGTTGAGTAAGCTTTGAGCTTCTATGTCTGGTCTTGGTGATAGCAACAGGAAAGGAGCCAATAGACTCCCTCCCCTTTGGTAGGGATTTGAGACAGTCTTCTGCCTTATTTACAGCTGGTTTTGAATAAACTTGTTTTTTTTTTAATTTTATTTTTTTCTTATCAGTTACATTTTATTAACTCTGTATCCTAGCTGTGTCCCGATCCCTCATTCCCTCCCAGTCCCTCCCTCCCTCCCTCATCTCCACCGTGCCCCTTGCCAAGTCCACTGATAGGGGGAACCTCCTCCCCATTCATCTGATCCTGTTTTATCAGGTATCTTCAGGACTGGCTGCAAAGCTCTCCTCTGTGGCCTAACAGGACTGCTCCTCCCTTGGGGGGTGGGGAGGCCAAAGAGCCAGTCATTGAGTTCCTGTTAGGAATAGTCCTTGTTCCCCTCACTATGGGAATAAACTTGTTTTTTTCCCACCATTTTTTGTCTCTTATGTCTTCTGTGGGATGGTGGGAAGGGTGGGCCTCACATTCTGGTAACAAATAGATGAGCAAAAAGTTTAAGTGGTTTCTTTAAAAGGGAGCCAGCAGACTCTTTTGCTTGTCGTTTTTGGAAGAGAAAACAACACTGACCAAGAGGAGGCAAACAGTAACTATTGGAGCAGGGGTGCTTTTCTTGCTGGAATCTGCGAAAAACAAAAAGGACACAACTTAGAGATGAGCTAGGTGGCAGAGAATTTTAAATGTCCATGTTTTAAAGCAGGTCGTGGTGGCACATGGCTTCAATCCTAGCATTTGGGTGTCAGAGGCACGTGGTTCTCCAGGAGTTCAAGGCCAGGCTGTCTATATATCAGGACAGCCAGGGTAACATAGTAAGGCACCGCCTCAAAATATCCATCTCTCTCTCTCTCTCTCTCTCTCTCTCTCTCTTTCTACCTATCTATCTATCTATCATCTGTATGTTTGAGTTGGGTCTCATGTAGTTCAGGTAGTAGATCTCTGCCACTTTGCAACATTTGGCTTTATTTTGAAATGCTGATCCATGTGTGTCTGTGTGGAAGTATGCATGCATGAATGTAGTGTAGGTGCCCATATAGGTGGCTGTGAGCCACCAGTTATGTGTGCTAGACACTGAACTGCATTCTTCTCCAAGAGCTGCCGTGGCTCCGAACCAGCCCCAGCAGCAGAGAATTTTCTTTGGAAACTAGCTCAGTCCATCCTTGATTCATCAATTTAACACAATGACTTTCTAATCAGTTTGAAATCAGTTACTTAAAAAAAAAAAAAAAAAAAACCTAAGCCAAAACAGTTCTCTGCTGTGGTTCAAATGTAATTGTCGCCACAGCTATGTTCTTACACTCAGTCCCATGCTGGTGAGACTGTGTGGGAACCCTTAGTAGGTGCAGCTTCGGTGGAAGAGTTATTCGTTGGGGGAGGGCCTTAGTTCTCGTCTGCTTCCTGCTTCCTGTGGACGTAGTCCGAGAAGCTGCCTTATGCTCCCATCACAGGCCTTTCCCACTGTGCTGAACTGCATCCCCTCAAGCGCCAGCCAAAATAAATCCTTTCTCTTTTAAGGTATTTTGTCACAGTATCAAGAAAAGGAACCAACTCAGCATCCTCTTAGATTTTCTAACCCAGAGAACTCTTTGCATATGATGAGACTAGACTAGAGAGAAGCACAGCAAAGGGTCCAGAGACACTCAGTTGCCTGCCATCATCAACAGCAGCAGCATGACTCCACACCCCTCATCCCCATCTTTATCGTGGTTTTTCATCACCGCCATGAAAGCTAGTGTCTGGTGGTTATTCTGGATCTGTTTGAGCCCTGAGCATTAAAAATGTGGGCACGTGTATGTGAAGGCCAGCGGCCATTGAGCCACTGCTGGCTAGAATGATCGGCCATCCCGTTCTGGGGTTCCACCTGTTTCCACTTCCTGTCCCCCTTCGGTGCTAGCTTTATGTGCCACCATATCTGACTTTTTTTTTTTTTTTTTAATGGGTGTACTGGCTGTTTTTGTGTGTCAGCTTGACATAGAGTCATCGGAGAGGAAGGAGCCTGAGTTGAGGAGATGCCTTCATGAGATCCAGCTGTAAGGCATTTTCTCCTTTAGTGATCAATGTGGGAGGGCCCAGCCTACCATGGGGTGGTCCTGGGCTCTGTAAGAAAGCAGGCTGAACAAGCCATGAACAACAAGCAGGTAAGCTGTACCCCTCCATGACCCCTGCATCAGCTCCTTCCTCCAGGACCCATCCCTGTTCGAGTTCCTGTCCTGACTTGGGTTAATATGGACAGCAATATGGAAGTGTAATCCAAATTAGCCCCCTTCTCCCCAGCTTGTTTTTGTTCATGGTGTTTCACTGAAGCAATGGACCCCCTACCTCTGACAATGTGGGTGCTGGGGATCCCTGCTCTCGTGCACATGCTGTGTAGCAGGTGCTTTCCTGACTCAGCCACCATCACCCGCCTCCCTCAACATGTCAACTTACTTAATCCTCACAACAAACTTAGGACTTAATTCCTTTTCCTTGTCTTCATTCTGCAACTGATAAAATTGTGGCAGAGGGATGTGCAGGCAGCCCCATTTAGGCTGATTCCTCTTTGGGAGGCTCTTTGCTTGGACACTTATATGACTAACTCTCTCTCCCAGATCCGCAGTGTCACCTTCTCTGGGGCATTTCTGCAAAAACCCATCTTAATATTGCAGCTTGCCACACAGCCTCCCCTAACCCCTTGTCCTGCTCAGCTTTGTTCCATAGCACCTACCACCTAGTAACCTCTGCTTTATTTGCTGTCTGCCTCATCGTGCTGGAATGGAAATTCCCCGAGAACAGAGGTGTTCCCCTCGCCATTCTCTACAGCTAGAACACTTTCAGCACACGGAAATGCTCGGTGACTATTTACCGGATGCAGGATTTCTAGCTGTTGTTTATACTGACGATGCTACTTCACAAGTTAACAAAAGTGACATTAGCATCCTCTGTAATCCCAGCCATCCTCTGCAGCCCTCTTTGCAGTAATCAGGGTAACATTTGTTATTATTATTTTTAATTGTGGGGTGTGTGTGTGGCTCCTGGGTATGTACAGGTGAGCCCAGGTGCCCGAGGAAGCCAGAAGCATCAGAGCCTCTGAGACTGGAGCTACAGGTAGTTATGAGCTGGCTGATGTGGGTTCTGGAATCCAAACTCAAATCCTTTGCCAGATACCAGCACTTGTTCTTAGCTGCTAAGCCATCTCCCCAGCCCCTATTTTTTTTTATGCCATCCTCCCAGGTTAAATTAACTTTTCCCCTTGCCAATCTTTAGACTATTCCCTAGCAAAAAGTGGGCACTGAAAGTGTGGTAGACCTCTTTTTTTCTGTGACTGTCTGTCCTTACTGTCAATCTCACCAAAGCACGTGTTTATACCATCAAGCCACTATCCCTCTTCCACATGCAGAGGGCTTTCCAGTTTCTTGCTTCTGTTTGAGTGGCTAGTGGGCACCTAAGTCCTGCCATGTCATTTCCACAGGCAAGCACTGTTTCCATTCCACAAGCAGAGTAACTTACTGGAGGTTCAGGCACTGCCACAAGGCCTCATGGCTATTGACACTCTCTGACTCTAACGTCTGCACACTTTTTTTTTTTTTTAACCTGGACAATTCAGATTTAATTACTTGTTCTTTCAGTTCAAGTCCAGGCTGGCCTTGAACTTGCAGCAATCCTCCTGCCTCAGCCTCTCTCAGTGCCAGCATTACAGTCATAAGAGATTATCAGCAGCTCTAAATTATTTGTTCTTTCACTCATTCCCCTGAGGCAGTCACTCTACTTTAGGGTCGTGGTACACCACAGTAGTAGGAAGCTGTTTCCAGGGAAGAACCGTAATGGAGCTAGACCTTTGCGTCCTTCTGTGCGTCAGAGGGCTGCTAAGAGCCCTGTGCACACTATGTCATTTTCTCCTGGCCAGAATCTTTCAAGATAAGTTTAAACAATAACTTTTCTCTTACATGTTCAGCAACAGGGGCAGAGACTAAGCCCCTCCCCCAAGACCACAATGCTATTGCTTGTCACTGGCAAAGGTCACAGGTGAAACTAAGCTGCTACAAACAGCTGGCTGTGTTTTTCTGGAAGCATGCCAAGAATTTTGATGACTTGAAACATTCTGACATAAATGCTTCTTTGTAAATCCAGTGAGAAGGAGAAGATTGTGTATTTGTTTTGTGTGTGCATTTGCCACATTGTTTTGCTGAAGAAATCACTTAAGGGAGAGAAACAAATTAACATTCTGTTGGCATACTTTGCATCTTTTAATAAACATGAAAACAAGTTACTATGGTAACCAGTATAGACAAGGTAAGGGGCAGCAAAATAATTACAGGGAAGACTGGGTAGTTTAGAATAATTCAACTTTTTCATAATTTGCTCCCTTGAATCTGTTTTGCTACCATTTGTCGCCCATTTAGGTCTACTTTTGAATGGTCTAGCTCCTTGGTACTTTAAACTTGGGCTGCAAGTTCACAAGACCAACTTTGACATAAATGGAAGAACTGAGTAAGTTATGTTTTTTAAAGGATGTTTCTCATTGAGAAAAAAAAACAGTTAATTAACTGGATAATTTTAACAGTTTCTTTTCTTTTTTGTATTTTGTGTTGTTTTTCAAGACAGGTTTTCTCTGTGTAGCTTTGGCTATCCTGGTCTCCCTTTGTAGACCAGGCCAGCCTTGAACTCACAGAGATCCTCCTGCCCCTGCCTCTCTGAGTGCTGGGATTACAGGCATGCATCATGGTGCCCGACCTATCTGTATTCTTTTAAAGAGTTCATCTTGAGTTATATAGGAAGAGGAGGGGAAGTGTATTCACCTGGCTGATAGGGATTTTGGGGATATACAGCACAGTATGACTTTGCTAATGAAAAGATAGTGAAAAAAGGAGAAATGGTCTCAGGAGAGGGTTCGAGTGTCTTGGGATGTTCGTGCTCCAGTACCACATCCATGAGTTCCCTAGGGTGACTTTAGTAGAGAAATAAGCCAAAGCAGCCACCTAGCAAAATCAGGTATGGGAAGGGTGCACTGATCACACTTAGAAAAATAACTGCCGTGGAAAAACCTTTGGCATCAATATAGGTGTGGCGGTACACACATCCATAATCCCAGCGCTTGGCAGGCAAAGGCAGAAGGACCAGAAACTTGGATAGAAAGTTTTAGAAGAGCCTGAGACCCGCTCTAAAAAGAAAATAAAGGAATTGGTATCAGCCCTCCCCTCCCTAGGCTCATGTGTGGATCAACCTGGATACAGTTCCAGGAAGCTGGGGTAACTAGAATATTATCAGGGAACACAAATGGCTCAGGGGACGTTTTTAAGACATCAAGGACACTCCCTGGGGTGCTGGTAGAAGAAAAATGAAAAACACTGCAGTGACCAGCTGAGAACATGTGGGTCTTAACTGTGTCTAGCCCAAGATTGTGCAGTTGTGTTCAGCTGACGTGAAGGTTAGAATCCAGACTGTGGTGGATGATGCTTAAGGGACTGAGCAAAACTGAGGATGTCACTCAGTGGGAGACCACTTGCTCAGCATGCACAAGGGCCCATGCCTGGTACCCAGTATTGCAAAAATAAATAAATAAATAAATGAGACAGAGAAAGAGAGAAAAAAAATTCTTGTACTCCCTCTCCCTAACACACACACACACACACACACACACACACACACACACACACACACACCTGTACACAGGTGCACAAACTGCTTTCCTGTAATGAAATCACTTAAACACAGTTTTAACTTAGCCCTGAGTTACTACTTAGCTGAGTTAGCTGTATACATTATCAGGCATTGGATGTTTGGTTGGTCTTCAGTGAGTATTTGAAACCATAGCATACCTAGGTAAATCAGTGACCTTGTGTTTCCCTACAAGCTCTTTTTGGACAGCATCTAGAGTGTCAGGAATTCAAGAGCAAGGCAGGGAATTGGGCAGCCTGGCCCCAGGTCCACACTGTTTGGGGCTATCGCCATCCGTACAACTCATTAGCTACCTGTGCTTGGTCAAGTTGTTTAAGCTCTTGAAGTTTCTCTTCTACGTGATGAGCACCAAGGCTGGAGTGACTGCCTAGCATGCCTGAGGCCCTGAGGCCAACCCCCCAGCTGTCAAGTAAAAAGAAAAAAGAAAAACTACATAACGAGCACTGTAACATAGCCTCATAAGGCTTTTATGAAGATAAGTAAAAGAAGACGATGAACTGCTTCAGCGTCCCTCGGCTGATAATAAATGAGAAATCGTTGTCATGTTAACTAGTCCTCCACTACAGAGGTGCTCAGCCTCCTCTTGTGGGTGAATGTGTGGATAACAGTGAAGGGAGGAAACTTATTCTGTATCTCCCGTAAGCCACTAGGCTAGAAGCAGTTCTGAGTTCTGAAGATTAAGTCAGAGACACTCCCTGTTCCCATTACTACGGAACACACTTGGACACTGAACTGCCGTGGGCTACATCTGTGCAGGGGTTCTAGGTTATCTCTATGAATGGTCCTTGGTTTGATCACTTCCCCCTGAGGGGGGGAGCAGCCTTACCAGGACACAGAGCTTCCTCTGTGCAGCCACTACTGATGAGACCTGATTGACTAGGATCAGAAGGAAGGGGGAGGGAAAGACCTCCCCTATCAGTGAACTGGGGAAGGGGCACGGTGGAATAGGGGGAGGGAGGGTGGGATTGGGAAGGGAGGAGGGAGGGAGCTACAGGGGGGATACAAAGTGAATAAATTTTAATTAATAAAAATTAAAATAAATGAAAAAAGGAAAAAAAGAGAAGATTATAGCAGGAGGTCTAACCCTGTGTCAAGAGAAAGGAGCTGCAGGCAAGCGGGAAAGCCTTCAGTGTGCTACAGAGCTACCCCGCAGCAGAGCGAATGGGTGCTGTAGAACCAGTGACTCTTTCTAAAGAGACTGTTCTTTTCTCTGTTGTGAAATCTTGAATATCTCTTTTTAGGTCATTTCCCACAGCATCCCCAGAGCTGTTTTTAAAAACACAGCAATTAAATGGCCCACTTCTTCTCTGCTTTTAAACTGTGTGTGCTGTTTAGTGTTTAACCAGCTTGACATAACTTGCTAGAGTAATGTGGGAAGAGGGACTCTCAAGGGAGAAAGTGCCTCCGTAAGATTGGCCCGTAGAAACACTTTAGAGCAAGCTTACCTTTTAGCAGCTGGCAGTTATACGCGCTCATGTTCCCAGCAGATCGCACGCTTATCAAGTCTCCTCCGGTGCTGTAGTTCTTACTTATGACTTCAAATAACTCGTAGGGGGGGATCAAGACTTCCTTCCTGAGAGAGAAGTCTTGCACAGAGACACCCAGGCAAGTAAAAATGGTAAACAGTGTTTGATTTCCAGACACCGGCGTCTCTTCCTTTAGCAGGGAGGCAGAAAGAAACTGGCCAAACCGAATGGTGGACCCAACTCTGGCTTCAAAGTTCACATCCTTCATCCCATGGTATACCTTATAACACAGACTGCGGTTCTTCGAGGAGCTCTCTTTCCTCAGCAGCTGGATGGCTGAGGTGAGGTAGTAGTGCAGATACTTGAAGTGGAATGACTGTTTGTACTGCCATGGAGACCCCGCAGCCCTGGCCATGGCCTTAGCAAAGTCCGAGCTCACATTATGATTCGAGGTGTAGAACATGATGGTCACGATGTGTACAGGGGTCATGCTCTCAGGGACGGTGTTGGCCTGGCTCAGCCAGCTTAAGTGGGCTTTTTGCCACACTCTGGAGTAATACGTATTGGTGTCTATTTCCTCCATGAAATAGTCTCCTTCATTTAGCTCCTTCATGACCTGTTCGCTACAGTCTTGGTATTGATCATCAAAGGAATGTGGGGTCAAATCAAGGTCGACCTTAAGAGCAGCCTATGAGAAAAAGAAATCTTGATTTGCATTATTCAAGTCAGACAGAAATGTGGTTGCTGATTTTTGTGCCCTACCAATGCTTGCTGAAGTATTTTACACAGAATGGTCAAGCTGTGTCCATTATAATGCCTCCATGCTATTCCTGCCTGGGTGGGGATTATCCTTATTCACAAATGACATAGAAAACTCCAAGGCTCATCTATGCAGGGAGGAAGTGTTCTGTACTGTGTTTCTGGATTTGAATTTGTTGAAGAAACAAAACAGTAGCCTATGGTTTAATTATACTTTTCACTCCCTTCAGTTTCTTCCACCTCATATCATAGCCTCTCATGGATGCCATAAAGAATGTTAAGAGCTGGGTGTGGTGGCTCATGCTTATAATCCTAGCACTTGAGAAGCACTTAGAAGCTATGAGTTTGAGGCCTGCCTGGGTACATGGTAAGTTTAGGGCCAGCCTGGATTACAGTGTGGGACCCTGTCTCAACCCAACCAACCTGGTAAAACCAAAACAACCGTATATACTCTAAACTTTATTTTTTGTTGTGTACATGCACGTACATGGAGGCCAGAGGTCAATGCCACAGGTCTTCCTCTATTGCTCTCTACTTTATTTTTTGAGACAAGATCTCACACTGAGCCAGGAGCTCAGCAGTTCAGCTGGGTGATTGGCCATTGATCTCTGAAGCTCCAGGGACCTGCCTGTCTCCACACTCCTTCCCCACTGCCAGCACTGCAGTTCCAGAGGTGCGTTCCATCACACCTGGATTTTATGTGCGCTCTGGGGATTCGAATTCTGGTCCTCACGCTTGTGCATCGAGCACTCTAAACACCGAGCCATCTTCTCGGCCACCCCATATTAAATCTTTTAACTCTATAGAAGGAAAAACCTTGAGTGATAAGTTGTGTTTGGTTCTCCAAGGAGACTCGTAAAGAACAACCTCCTTGCTTACTTAGATTCTGAAAAAAAAAAAAAAAAAAAAAAAGAAGAAAAGAAAAAGAAAAAAAAAATACAGCAAATTTGGGAGCCGAAATATCACCCTTCTCCCTCAATTATATGCACCCATGTGGGTGCATTTATCTTTGGGCCTGCATGCAAGTTGGCTTAAGAGTAAATTCCAGAGCCGGTCAGACTTGTCTTCCCAGTTGCCAGCCGTGGAGGACGCAGGCCTCTCAGGTAACATCTTGCCATGGGGGAAAGGCACTTACGCCACAGACTTTAGGTGACCAAGTCCCAGGGTGGAGAGCGGAGCTGATTTCCATGCATGCAGTTATTCTCCCAAATCTTACCAAGATCTGCTCCACGGGAGTGGATGAGTGAAGGACGGCACAGTGCCTAAGAAAGCCCCTTCTCTTTGGTAGTGGGGGCCGGAAAATCGAATGCTTTGTGGTGGGCAAACGGTTGAATATTGTCTAGAGCGTTTGGAAACGAAGCTAGAGACCTAAAAAGAGGCTCACTGAGTTTCACCAGCTCGTTACTGAGAACCTGACTTGAATTACCTACATCTGAACAGATGTTTATCTCTTGGCAAAGCAATGATGCCTTTCTCCTGAACTGTACTCATCAAAAGGCAAGATTCCGTCCAAGTCAGTGTTGTTGGGACTGGAATTAGAAAACACACACAGTTGGGTATTTTAACTGTGCGATTTATGATGACATGCTGTCCAGTTTTACACAATCTAGATCCAATTTGTAAGACTGACTGACTGATGTTAACCAAGCTTTAAAACAAGCTTAATTAGTCCAAGCCAAGACTTACATTCCGTTAAATATCACAGTGAACTCCAACACAGTTTTTTAAACATGTCACCAGATCCCAAATATTTCCTGCATCGTCTGTTATCATTAGTTTATTTTTAATATATAGCTCTTTAAATTAGAATACTCAAAACTTGCACTGCCTGTATGAAGCAGTTTCAAGTCAAATGAGCTTATTTCACATTATTTGTCCTGCGGAAACAGGTTTTTTAATACTTAAAAGAATCAGAAAAATAACCCTATGGCATTCAATCCATCATGCCGGATTTATGAATTATAAACAATTTAAATTTTTCATAGCAACTGTTTCCATCACTCTTCACTAACGTTTTTACTCTTAGATCGCTAGTGCCCAAGTTTGCCATTTGCGTGGACACCAGGTGAAAGTCCCAATATGTCTGGTCGATCACAGAGAGACCAGCTTCTCATAGCCCCTACCTGGCTCCTGACGGGTGTGTGCTGGGCACAGAGCAGCAGCAGCAGCAGGGTGAGCTGCCCTCCCGGGAGCCACAGCTTCACCCTCCGGTCTGCAGTCCTCGGTAGGCACATCCTCTTGGATCTACCCGTCAGTGGGCAGCAGTAGTGGTTTGGGTCAGCAGCACTTCGTGGCCCTGAAAGCCTGGTCCCGAAATTTACCCCAGAGTCCTTCTTTGACATTTTCTGTTCGGGTTGTGTCTGAGATTCTGTTCCGGAGGCAGATGTGACTTCTGCTGAATGCCAACAAGCGACAGTTTCCTCCAAGGTAGAAGCCAGCTCCTTTGTAAAGCCGACGTCTCCGCGAGGGAGCCAGATGTGCGCGGCACACCAAGCTTTCTCACCGAGTCAGCTTCAAGTTTTAGAAAGGCAGCCTTCCCTCTCCCTGTCTAGTCCGCGTCCAGGGGAATGCCAAGGGTCTGTTCAGGGTCAGGCTGCGCAGTTCAGCCTCGACTTTTCCCAGAATGGTAGAAAAAGCATGCTCCGTTGCGCTTGGGGCCAAGTCCCATTATCTGGAGCCCCAGGCTTTCATGAGTAATAGCAGCGGCATGTGCAGCGCAGCTCGGGAGATGCAATCTTAAGGTGGGCCTGAGTCCGCTCATCTGGTGCTGCTGATAGCCCTGCCCTGGACGGCCTTCCACAAGCAGCACACGCTTTAAACCTTGTATGTTTTGGCTGCTTTTCCACAGTGCAGTTGGTATCATCCCCATCCAGAGAGGGTGGCTGTTGGATTCAGAGCTTTGAACATTCATTTCTTCTGAGAGCTTCAGGACCTCTAGCCATTGTATTCCGAGATGAGTTCCCCCACACACACATGATTTAAGTCAGCGCTTCCACTGTTAAACACTTCCTGCTCAGTTCTGAGCATCCTTCCACCACTCCCAAACTTTTTTTTTGTTTGTTTATGTTTCCTGTCTCTTATCAAACTGTGAAACCAAATCCTGTTCTTGGAAATCCCGGTCCCAGTTTCTTTTTACGACTTTAAATATTTGTCTGAAGGTCATGGTGGCTCTCCCTTATTAGCAGAAGCTCAGAATATAAAGAGAAGCATAAAAGAAGAAACACAAGTTATCCAAAACCCATTGCTTGGGGAAAGTAGCCTTGGTTGCCCTGGACTCGCCTTGTAGACCAGGCTGGCCTCAAACTCGGAGAGCTCTGCATGCCTCTGGCTCCCTGAGTGGTGGGATCACAGGCTTGTGCCACTGTGCCTGGCTCTCCACCTTAGTTTCCGACCCAGGCTTTCACTGCACCTGGAGCTCACAGATTTGAATAGGCTGGTTGAGAAGCCAACCCCACCTCAACCCACACCCACACCTCTGTCGCCCAAGCACTGGGATTGCGGGCACTCACTGTGTTTGCTCCTTTTGTTGTTGTTGTTGTCTTATGAGTTCTAAAATAATCAAATTCAGGTTCTCTTGTTTACATGGCAAATGTCTCACCAGATAAGCCATCTTTCCAGCCCTATTGATTAATTTTTCAAGAGGTCTTTTTTTGGGAAAGGGTCTCATGTACCCAGGCTAGCTTTGAACTCACTATGGAACTGAGGCTGACCCTCAACTTTGAGCCTCTGCCTCCTGGGTGCTGGGAGCAAGCCACCATGACCTGTTTATATGGTTCTGGGATCAAAGCCAGAGCTTTACACTAGGCAAGCACTCTACCAAATTACCTACATCGGCACCTTAACATTTTACTGTAAACATGTCTCCTCATAATTTAATATTTATTGAAGTATGTGTGTGTATGCATGTTCGTGTGCCCATGGGTTTGTGTCCATGTGGTGTGTATCTCTCGCTGTATGTGTGTGTGTGGCTCAGACGTGCCTTAATTTCTTGATCCTCTGTTTATTGTTTTCCACTCATACCTAATACTTGACAAAATTATTTTACTGGCTCATGATCAGAATGTATACATGGAGACATTAGGACTAGAGAAGATCAGGCAAGGATAAGCATGAAAGAATTTCATTAAGAGGTGAGTTTAGCCAATTTCTTAATTGTCTTTTTAAATGGCTTTATAGAGACATATTTCTAATCCTTCCTTCCTTCCTTCCTTCTTTCCTTCCTTCCTTCCTTTCTTTCTTTCTTTCTTTCCTTCCTTCCTTCCTTTTTTCCTTCTTTCTTTCTTCTTTCCTTTCTGTGTAACTTTGTAGCCTTGGCTAGCCTGGAACTCTCCAGGCAGATGTAGACCAGGCTGGCTTCAATGTTAGAGAGATGTAGCTGCCTCTGCTTCCTGGTGCTTTGATTAAAGGTGCTTGCTGCCACAGTCAGCTATTCCGGAGGCTCTAAACGCTTTTTATTTTACAGCTACTTTGAGATGACAAGGAATTTTTGAAATAGTGCAGCGAAGCCTGTGTCCTTTGCCCCAGTTTCTTCCGGTAACTATGCCTCATAAATCGTGACACAAAATTAGAACCAGGAAGCAAATACTAGCAGTATGCATGTAGCCTTGAGGAGCCACCGCCACTGTCGTGATGTAAAGCTGGAGACTGGAGAGATGACGCAGTGAGTGGGAGCAGTGGCTGGCCCCCTCGTGGCAGCTCACAGTGATCTTAGCTCCAGCCTCAGGTCCGCAGACAAAACTAAATAGACAAACAAACAAATAAAAATGTAAGAGAAATACAAAACTGTGCGTCACTCCATAGACCTCCCTCATGACCTCGTGACCTCGTGACCTCTAGGATTCATGCCTTCCCTCTCCTCTCCGCCATCCCCAGTCTCTAAAAATCACACTCAGTCTTCCCATCCTTGCGGTTTTGTCACACCAAGGATATTGGATAAATAAATCATGTTCGGTGTCATTTTCTTAACCTTTTCCCATTTAGCATAATGCCCTTCTGGTTGGTGTGCAGGACTTAAGATTATTGTGGCTGTACAATAATCCTTTGCTATGGCACTGTCATTAATGGACCTGCTGATGAACCCAGTGAGTGCTCTGTCTTAAGACCATGCCTGCTCTTTTTTTTTTTTTTTTTTTTTTGAGACAGGGTTTGTCTGTGTAGCCCTGGCCATGCTGGGATTATAGGCATGTGCCACTCCACCGAGTGCCCATACCTGCTCTTTAATTCTGTTTAATTCTGGTCACTGCTACTTCCTTGACATTTGACCTTAGGCTACTTAACATCTCTGTCACTCAAGTCCTGGTGGGTTAAATGGGGGATAAAATGGGTCCTGGGAGATCCCCCAGATGTATCAACCTAGAGATTGTTCAAGGAAAAAACACAAATACCAAACTTTTCTTGGTGTGTACCCATTGACCTTATTTTCAATTTTATACTATTGTTACTAGCTCTTGAACATGCTTTCAGCATAAAGCTATGTGTGTTTCTCATAGTTTTGAAGACATAGTCCAGAGAACTGACCGTTGAAATGTAAATGTGTATTTTTAGGTTTAGTGGCAATCACCAGCAGTGTCTGAAAATAGCCTCTTAAGATCTTTTTCAGTTCTTAAGGCTCCTCATTATCAGCTTTTGCAGGGATACTGAGACACGGTGAAAACTCGGTTTGATTCTGAGCATTTGGACTGTTGCTCCTGATCCACTCACCACACTGCTCGGCTGGCTTTGAAGTGAGTGAGCCTGCTGGGCCTCTGTTTCCTGCAGACTTGGGAAGGTTAATGAGGGACTCACACTTTACTGGGAGGCTCTGCCTTGAGCTGCCCTTGTTTATGCTTTTGTTTGTTTTCTCAGCCTACAAGAGAGCCGTAGAAGAGACATTTAAAATTTTTATTTAAAATTTTGTATGTCTACTATATGAATGTTCGATCGGCTTTTGCGCATGTCTGTTTGCCACAGGTGTGCCTGGTCTCTGTGGATGTCAGAACAGGGCATTAGATCCTCAAGGGCAGGGATTGCAGGCAGCTGTGAGTCTCTCTGTGCTGGAAATGAAACTCAGGTCCTCTGCAAGAACAGCCAGTGCTCTTAACCACCAAGACATCTTTCCAGCCCCCTATCATCCATCTATCTATCTATCTATCTATCTATCTATCTATCTATCTATCTATC